CTGAGCATCCTCACAGCCACCAGAGCTTATGGCTGAGGTGGAAATTCTCTTCCCAAACACCAAACTGGGAATTTGCTCCAGTCACAACCACTATCAGCCACTTTTGGCTCATTTTAACATCCATGGGGAGCAAAGCACCTGGCACCAACCTCAGCTGGACAAAGCTTGTCCTGTTCCAATGCTGCTGGTGCCTTGGGGCCTTACCTCACCCCCTCACAAATCCTTGCTGGGTGGAAGAAAATGACAGTTTTGGGTAAGATTCCCAACATATTTCAGAGCCCAGCTTGTCACTCAGTTGCAGCCCAATCTTTAGGCTCCATTCCCAGCCTGGCAGTGGCTGTAGGAAGATCACGAGCCTAAAAGCATCTCAGTGCTCAGCCAGAGCTGCACTGAATACTTGAGTGTATTCCTAAGTGAGGCTGCAGCATCCAGCAGAGACTCAGCTGCCCAGGCAATGCTCCATGAGACAATTCTACAGCCTGTTTTATATCCCACCCTGTCAAAATAAACTCCACAGCCCAAGCTGCTCACAGCAGCATCTAAGCCACAGTCAGGAATGCTCCAAGGGCTGCTGAATGCTCTCAATTACTGAAAAGCTTCCCAATTCCCTCTAAAACCCCCAGCACAGCCTGAGGCATCCACTGCAAATGAGTCATTTGCTCAAAGTTCATAGCCTTGAGTGGTTTTAATTGGGAAATCCCAAGGGGGATTCACTCCTCACCCTTTCTTCAGGCACTACAGTTTGGCTCCAGCTCCTCCTGCAACTTTGTGCAGTAATAACCCTCCAGAAGGCATTTCAAAATGAAGCACGAGTTGGCTGCAAAGCCACTGCTCTTTGGGGAAAGGGGGGGGGCAGGAAAAAAATAGCTGCTTTCATGGGCAGGAAGAGGAGAGCATCACTCTTGAAAGCCTAATGAAATATTCCCAGTGCAAACAATCCCTGCCTGGGAGCTCACAGCTGGCCTGGGGAAATGAGCCTGCTCAGCCCATTGATCCCACTAACACTGCTCCATGTGTTGGGCTGGGGCATCACACAACCATCCCCTCAGCACCCCCAGGGGAAGGGGGTGTGAGAAATCCTCCCTGGAGCAGGATCAGCCCTGTGGGATGACATTCACATCCTCTCCCACAAACCTCCGTCAGTACATGGAGATTTCTCCTGGAGCCAAAGCTGAAAAGCTTCACTTTTTTACAGAGCCAAAGGAGGAAATAGCCAAAGATCCAAGTGCTGCCTTTGACTTGTGGTTTCCTTGTTCTGGAGCAAGATTGCTTCATGCCTTCCTGACATTGGTTCTGCTCAGAGAAGCTGTGACACAGAGTGTCTTGAGAAACAACTTCCTCTGCTCTGTTCAGGAGCAGAGTGTTTCAGCAGTTTGGGGACACAAGGGAAACCTTAAGAAGCTCAGTTAAACTCAGCTTCAGCTCTAAATTGTGCTCTTTGCTACTTACCACAGGTTGGTTAGGCCTGAGCATGGATCCTGCTGCACGGATCCATCTCAGAGGAGTGAACAATTCCTGCTAAAAAAAAAGTTGACCTGTGGTTTGCAGGAACCACTAGAACAGAACTACTAAAGCCAAAACCACTGTTCACCACACACCAAAGGTGCTGCTAAAGATATATGCCTAGTGAAGGAGTTTCCTCATACAAAAACTCAACTTTATGGAAGAAGGAAGGGATGTTTGGGGTTTGTTTTGTCTTTTTCTTCACCCCCCTGTAATTATAGGCCTGACCCACTCTCTGCAGGAAAAAAGAAGACCCAGAAGAATCTCTAGGGATTAACCTAGAGGCCTTAAAAACCTTCTTCCCCACACCATGAGGTTTGCTCTCCTACCTCAGTGGCCAAGCCACACCAAGTTGACTGATGTTGGCTCTGCCTCCTCTCAGAACAAGCTGTGAACCTTGTCATTTACCCAAACCACAAAATATTGGTGGGCCCCAAAGCCTTGAAGGCAACATTGGTGTGTCTCTGAGCAGTGCTGATCTTGCAGGAGCAGCTCTCAGTCTAGACCTTATCAGTGGGACCATCTTGTTCTCTGCAGTGCTGTGGTGAGAGCAGCAGGGATGGAGAGAGGTGGAGGAAATGAGAAGAGATGCTGGTGAGCAGCAGGGTAGGTCCTTCCTGCTGCTCCACAAAGGGATGTTGATTACTGCAGCAAATCCACCGTGGAAGGGACAATTCCAAGAATAGGAATCCATGCAAGAGGATTGGGTGACATCACCAGTGCTGAAATCAGTCGAGTTCCACATTTCACTAGATTTTTGGCCAAAAACTCCACACTAGTCAGTCCTAGAAGTTGCCAGGACAAAGGCAGCACATGGAGGTCTCAATTCCCACCAAACACAACACACTCAGGTAGTAAATAAACAGATTTTTTGGCCAAAAACTCCACACTAGTCTGTCCTAGAAGTTGCCAGGACAAAGGCAGCACATGGAGGTCTCAATTCCCACCAAACACAACACACTCAGGTAGTAAATAAACAGATTTTTTGGCCAAAAACTCCACACTAGTCTGTCCTAGAAGTTGCCAGGACAAAGGCAGCACATGGAGGTCTCAATTCCCACCAAACACAACACACTCAGGTAGTAAATAAACAGATTTTTTGGCCAAAAACTCCACACTAGTCTGTCCTAGAAGTTGCCAGGACAAAGGCAGCACATGGAGGTCTGAATTCCAACCAAACACAACACACGCAGGTAGTAAATAAACACCATCCTTGTGTCCAAGTGGAAACAGCAGCAGGGTGGAAGCTCACACGACCACCAAGCTGAATTTTGATGGTGTAAAAGAGATTTTTTTTCCCCCCCATTTAATCCCTGACAAGATGCCTTTAATTCTTCCCTGCCTGTTACAAATATTTAGCCCCTGTTTTCCAACCTCACTGGAGTTGTGGAGATTTTACAAGCCACAAAGTCCTTAAATTAGCTCCTAACAGAGGAATAAGTCTGAGCTCCTGGGTCACTTCTTGCTTGTTTGAGGATCAATTTTGTATCTCGAGCTAAACACCAGCTATTTTTCACTATCTCCTACCATCCCCAAGGAAAGGGCACAACCTGCCCAGCAAGGAATGACACATTTTGCCAAAAATAGAGGTAAGCAGTTTAACAAGGCACCAAAGCTCTGCTCCCAGCACAGGTAAATCCTCCACACTCACAGGAAGCTTTGCTTGGAGTTAGAAACTCCAACTTTGTCCTAGATTTCCAGGGCTGGGTGGAAATAATCACTATTTGGGATCAAACTGAAGGAGAGACCAAAGCTATTCTTGCTTTTTCTGACTGGTTTGCTAACCTCCTTGCACTGTGGAGGCTGAGGGAGCTCTGCAGAGCAGAGCCTGGCACAGCTCCGAGCTCTGTGTGTGTGGTGGTACCTTATGTAACTCCTCTGGTAGTTACTATAGGAACAAACTTCCCTCAAGTTGCAGCTGAGCATCACACGGCACTGCTGGACCCTTTATCTCCCCTCCACTCCACTCCCCACACACACTCCCCCAGGCATAGGATGCTGGCACAGAATTCCAGGGATCACCATCCAGGTGATTCTGCCTGCAGGATTATCCCTGGCTCCTATTTGGGGCAGCTGGAAGGACATGGATCCATGTGTGACTCAGAGCTGATCTTAAAGGAAATCTTCCTACAACTCTCCTAAGCACTGGCTGATTCCAGAATAAGACACTGATGGAAACACTGAAGCTTTTTTTCTTGCTTTGTGGGTTGAATGGGAAGCTCTAGCTGAGGTGTGTGAGGGTCAGGCTCATAGCTGTGTCCCCTCAGATGAAATCACCCACAAACAAAGCCAATTCCTCAATATTAACACCCTCTGGAAATCAAGAATTTGCTTTATCCACAGAATTTTCCTCTCAGAGCTGCCTCAGGAAGAGCAGAGCAGCTCACAAGCAGAAGAATCAAAGCAGGATCACACAATATTGTGATTTCAGCTAAGGAAATGAATATCCAAGCCCATCTGCATCCCTCTGGCAAAATTCTCTGAGCTTTCCCCTCACACAAGATCTCCTAAACCAATCTGAGCACCAAGTTGGGGTTTGGAGCCCAGTGCAGGCCCAGGCTGAGCATCCTCAGCCCGTGCAGCTGTTTAACAAGATACTCTTGGAACTGCTTGGACTGAAAAGGAAATTCAGCTGCAAGTCAAGAGGCTGCTGAGGGAGGAGTTGAGTCACACAGATTTTTGGGGGAATTTCTGTGACGTGGTTTATATTAATATCAAGTTTGGTTGGCCTAAAGCAACTCCTCCAATAAGCTAAGTCCTCATTTCACTGGAATTTATCTTTCCTCATCCACCTACTCTCGCCCCAAGCTTTTTATCCTCCTTCCCAATCAGTATTTAACCCCCTCTGACTGTATTGTCACAGTTCTTCACGGATTTTTGGCTTCCAACTCCTCCCAGAAGCTAACTCCACATTCCACTGCAAGTCAACCTTAACCACCTACCCTAGCCCCAAGTTTTTTATCCTGATTTTCCTCCTTCCCATTCAATATTCAACCTCCTCTAAACAGGTATTTTCACACTTCCTCATGGTAAAGACTTGGCTTGAAGAATTCCATCCAGGTTTGGGGCTGTGTCCAGCAGCAGTTTAACCACTCCCAGTTAGGAAAAAGGTGAATTTGGGTCCAGAACCCACAGATTTCACAAGACAAGGGATGAAGGGAAGAGTCAGACAAACCAGGAGGAGCACAGGGCAACCTGAACTGATGGACAGACACAGCAATCCTCGCTGGTGCTCCTGGGGAGGAGCTTCCCACTCCGATGTTGTTCGGAATTCCCAGAGCCTGCTGTGGGGAGAGGACTGGAGAGCAGAGGGGAAGAGTTGGGGAGAAGGAGAGAACCAAACAGAATTAGCTGTGTGGTAACACCAGAGCAGCACAGAGCTTCAGAAATGCAAAGAATCCGGTTAGTCTTACTCAACACGAGGCATTTTCCAGTTACTGGGAACACTCTGGTCCAGCTCCCAGTGATTACACCACATTCCTCCCTCCTTTGCCATTTCAGCCTCCAGACTCA